AATTATTAAGCCTATCCTAAGGGTATGTGTAATATAATTTAATACTAAACAGCAGCAAAGCACTATTTTTTCAAATGTGATGTACTAAAGACTAGAGATCGGTTCAAAATGCAAATGTGTTCATCCTGAAACAAAATTTGTTGCTTAAAAAAAAGTATGTCAATTAAGTAACTACCTTTCAAAACTTAAACTTACATTTTATCCTGATAAGGAAATGTGGTATGCTGACCCAAGAGAAAAACATTTTCTTCTGAAAGATAGCCACTAAAATAATAAACAGTTAAAATAATAATAAATATTTAAAGCAAATTTTGAATTAAAAAATTAGAGTATACTTAAATAAAAACTACGATTTCATCATATAAATAGTATTACATTACTAAAACATGTTTAAACAAAACCAGAACATACCCAAGATACAAAGTTGCACATAAATACCAACATATTTACTTTTATGTTGGTATTGCCGATAGAAAAACAAACTGCTATATATAAATTTCAATTTAATTTATATGGTTTGGAAAGAACAAGCAACTAATTCAATTTTTAAATCAGGATGAAGAGTTCAGTAAAAATTAAAATGTTTAATAACCAACTTCATAGTTATTAGCCTTCACTAATTTCATTATTAAGGACTAAAAAGTTTTATTGGCTGTCTAATTTTGATTATCCAAAAAAAGAAATAAAAGGAGTTTTGTAGAGAATAATAAGCAACTGATAGCAAATCTATTGTAAGTTGATTAAAATTCACAAATATTTTAACAAGGAAAAAATAAAGAAAATTAGATTTTTTTCTATGTTATTAACTAAACTCTTAATTATAAAAGGATTAAAAGATTATACATATATATAACAGATACATATGTATAATATAACAGATATATAATATCCTAATATCATGAGGAAAGTGTGCCATAAGTGTTGTAGATGTCTTAGAAAAATAAATACTTTCAAAATTATATTTAAAAAGTATATATACACAACACTTACTTGTTCAAGTTGTTTCCTGATGGCCCTCCAGTTATTTCAGTAGTATCTTCTTTGATGGTAGCTGATTCATCTCTATCAAAAACACTTAACAAATATTGTATACACACAAAATTCCTAGCATTTTTCATGATAACAACTGGTAAATATTAATAGAATGTCAATAACACTGTCGCTGCAACTACTAACTAAACTAATAAAAGGGTAATTTTATCAATTGATGAAATGTAAATATACAATTGAAAAAAAAACCTTAAGAAATTAATATAATCTTTCATTTTCCCCCAAGGTATTACAAAATAATTTAAGGTTAATATGCATAACATGTACGTCAGCATATCAATATAAAGTATTTTTAAAAAATCTCAGAATTAAATGAAATTAATTTAAAATAAAAGGAACAATACAAAATTAAATCCATAAACAATGATTAATCAGACAATTAATTAACAAACAACTATTTATCAGAAAATGTTTTTGAAATGGATATCTTTTAAAATAATTTTCCATAAAATATTAAATTTTAAGTAAACATATAAATAAATCATGCATACGATTATTAACCATAAAATTTTATCAAGATGATAATAAGGAGGCAATCAGATAAAAATATGAAACAAACTATTATTGCATATCTTTTATTTTCCAACATTAAAGCCTTCAGGTTTTAATGTAGGTTAGAAATATAGATATGAATAAGAATAACTAGTTGCTTTATTTGCTCTCAATAACCTCATACACTCCAATTATAGCTCTTTGCTCAACAGAATTACAACCAGAGTGTGAAGATTGACCATCGCAAGGATGGAGCAAAAAAAAAATCTTATTTTTTATTTTGGAATGCTATGCTACAGAAGCTGCTTCAAGGGTAGAAATTTAAAATAAATAGATACAATTTTTTTTTCTATAATTTCCAGGTAGCACAATGATACAAAACATTTTACTGATTTTTCTATTAATTTGGAGAGAAAAAAAAACTTTAGTAAATGTTTATGTAACCATTGTTAGCATAAATTGGTAAAAAAAACGAATAGGAAATATAAAAAGATTAAAAAATTAATTGATTCTACATGTTTATGTACATTTTCATTTAAAACTAGAAATGTTTTGTTTTCCTATCAGGAATTAGGCTTAAGGTACTATTTCTCTAGTACCACCCACTGCAGCGACCACCACCCATTGTCAACTTTCTGCTTGTGTATTTTGCAGAAACTGCTCACTGTAGCACTCAACCCGTCAACTTTAAACATCCTAGTTTAAAATTCTTCAAAATTAAAACATTGGCCTTAAATGTAATGGTTTTCATCCACATCACATTGTCACACAAAATGGACACTAAAGTCAAGCATATTAATAAGCTAATAATACCTATTACATCCTAAAAAAAAATCTTGCCCTATTCTTTTTGTGCTTGAGAACCCTGTTTTGTCCTCTTGATAAAGAAAATTATTCCTATTCCACATTTGTCATCAGACAATCCTAAATATTCATGTCTATTTTATAAATAAGACTTAGGTTATGAGTTGAAACATAAAATAAAAGATAGGCACTGTTTCACTTCTTATATATGACAATCCACCTCGAATCATCAACTTCTTGATTGAAAAACAATGCTATTTAATAAGACTTTTTCCAAAGGAAGTAATGATGTTTAAAATTATCATTCCAAAATTACATTTTGAATATTTAAAAAAAAAAATGGAAATCATAAAACTGATTTTTATAAAACCCAAGTCTTAATAGTTTTTCTCACAATTTTGACCTTTTGGAATAAAGGATCAACTTATTTTTTTTTTTAATTTATTTTAATTATATATTATCTAAAAATAGATAATCCAGAAAAAGGTTCAGGAGAAAGAAAATGTCATGTTTAACTATATCGACCTGATTCATAGACATAAGATATTAAAAAATATAAAGTTATTAAGTACAATTTTAACAAATTATTATATATAAGTTAAAAAAAGAAAAAAGAAAGTTTTATTCATGAGTTTGGCTAAAGAAGAAAAATTTATTTACAATTTATATTTATTTACTCAACATATTTATACTTGATTAAGGCTTCCTAAGTTTACAGCCCATGAGCGGTTGTAATGATAACTTGTTGAAGTATGGGCTGATATCTGCAGTTCCAAAGATAGGGGTAGTTTACTGATTCACTGGAAAGTACTATTTTATTACAAAGCAGTCATCAACACCTTGCAAAAAGGTAATAAATAGTGACCAAACTGTGCTAGGGTCAACTTAGAGTACCTGTAGCTGCGGCAGAATCTAACTCTGCATGCAATTCTTCTATCTGATTTATACTACATCAAATAGTTAGTTTGTAACATAAATATCTACTTTCTGACAATTATATCCATTTTATTTTTAAATTTCTTATTTCTTAAAATATAAAATGAAAAAATCTTTTTTTTTTTTTGGTTTTTATTAGTGTTGGCCTTGAACACGTCGACCCCTAATGGATCCACTGTGCGCCAATTTCAGTTAGTCGTTTTTAATCAAAACGTTATTCTAGTAGCTTCCACGTATCTAAGTAGGCTGGTTGGATTGACCGACTCATAACTGCTGGGGAGATCCATTCGTTCCTCCCCAAATACTACCAGTCTCAGCCTTGTGAATCTATCACATGTACACACGATGTGAAAGGCCGTTTCGTTCTCCTCCTGACAGAATCTGCATAGCGGATTCGTCATGACTCGGAGATTGAACATATGCTAATTTAGCTTACAGTGACCTGTATAGATTGCTGTAAGCTTTTTGAGGGCTGCTCTGTCCATATTCAGTAGCAGTTTACTTCTTTTTTTCACATGGACCTTTAAGGAACAGCTTCAAATGTCGCTGTTTCTTGTTGGTCCAGTAATTACTAAATTTGTTCCCATACATCTCCCTGATCCTACCCTTGGCAGTGCTAAGGCTGATAAAATATTTGGTGATGATAATTACGCTCAAATGGCAAGAAAATGGAATGAGGTTTTTTATATGTAATTTCCCATGTGAGGTTTTTACACAAAGATAAAATTAAATAAACAAATCAACATATGCTGGAAGAAACAGGGAAAATAAATCAGAAGTGTGTGGTTAAAAGGTGAGTCAAAATCACATTGATCAGACAATACCAAAAATAGCAAAATGTATCAGAGTATATGGAAGCAACCGATCTCCTTAAAAATAAAGTATGAAAAACAATTGACGATGAATAGAGCAGGGTAGCACAATAAGACAACCCTTCCTTACCTCACAGGCCTGCGTTTGAGGCAATTATTATTTATTCTTTAATGTCAACCGACGATAGACCTCGGGGTCAGGATACAATCAACTAAATGAGTAACCTTAATTGCAGCAAAAAAATCTGCCAGTTCAACATGATCCTGGCTTAATTACTTCCTTGCAAAACTATTGACCTACAAATGTTACTTCCGTACAAAACACTGAACCCAAGACCCATTATAAATAATTGTGGTACAGATTAGATTATGTATGAAAAGAACCTATCTCCAGTGATGTGAAGTCCTTCAATTGAATAGAACCAATGGGGAGTTAATTATCCCTCAAGCAAGCACAGTGAGACCAACTATGAATATAGTTATCAACTATTGGCTATATTCAGAACTCCATCAATGTTTTGATCGATATAAACTTCACCTACCTGTCAAGCAGATGTGACACTTATGAATTAATCCTCTTGCTTAAATTAATCCACATTACAAACAGAAAACCGAAATCTAGCTTTACCACTTTAATCATGAAATTAAAGTATCGGAAAGAATAAAATTAATTACAAGTTTCCTTAATTAACAACTAAGTCGAGCCTGTATGTCATCCCATTGTATTTTAAAATAACTGATAGAGAGAATCTTAATCTATATTAGGGTAATATAATATGTTCACTGGATGAATTTAAAATAAAACTTGCATGTTGAAAAATTAATACAACAAAATCTAGTGTCATTCTTTTTTTATCTAAAATTAGATATTGCAGTAAGCAACACAGTTAAAGAAATATTACATACAGTTTGTCTTCGAAATCAAAAAATCTTCTAGAGGGAATCACTCGTTGGACTAACTGAATTGGTGTATAATTAATGCCACTATCTTTTTCCATTGAGAAAGGTGAAATTTAAAATAATTAAAACGCAGAAATGAAACTATTATGACGAAAAGTAAACAGAAATATAAACAACAAAAAAACGAGAAGGGTAAATTAAGAAATAAAAGACACGGCAACGTATGGTAAGATAATGCAAATTTTGAAATAAAACCTTGATAACAGAACAGTGATAAGAATACTTACAGTTTGTCTTCTTCTAAAAAGTAATCATCTTCCAAATCGAGCATTTTCGTAGGGCAACTATTGCAAAAGAGACAAAACTTAATAGACGACGAGTGAATTCTAGGAAAAATTGTTCATAGTATTAAATCAAAATTAACCTAATTAAATAATGTTTTCAAACAGCTGTCAAGGGTACACAAGAAACGACATAAGCCAAGATGACAGTGTGCGCTTGCGCCCAATTGATGAGTGCGCTTTTGACAGGGCGCAGAACACTCAGTAGGCGTTGTTGCCGAATTCAGAGTTTGTGGATTTTATTTTACTCTATTTCTATTATTTAACGGTCATCCAATTTACTTTTAAACTACTATTGTTTAATTTGTGTAATAATGGTGAAGTGAAGTGATATCGTGGAAGTAATGGGAACGTTATTAAGTGGCCAGTTATAATTGGTAAAAATTACTACATTTGTTTTTTTCTTTTGGGTGATGGTATAGATAGTTTTTTGGAAATCATTTCGTATTATTCGTTTTGAAATATTTCAATATGATATTTCATTACTATTGTCTTCCACTATTTGTATAAGCTTAAGACCTATTTAAAGGTTATATTTTTCATAGTCCACTTGCTATCATATTTTAAATTTCTTTCTGTCAAAACATTGGTAGATTATGATTATGATCTGTTCTGTATTTCACATATTTTTTCCATCTAATGAACATTTATTTTTCCTAATGATCAATTACCTTTAAATTTTGTCATTATATCTTTGGCGCCACCAATCCTAGTGATTTACTTTTTATATAAAAATTATATTCCTTAAATAAAGTATTGAAGCAGTCATTATTACTGAAAATCTATTCACATCTACTTTATTTACGCTATTGCGTTGATGCAAACCACCTAGATTTTCTAATGAAAACTATTGGTTTTCTTTAATTTTCTGTGATAATTTTTTTTTTTTTCAGTTTTCACATTTAAATGTCAGTGCCATTTTTTTAATGAAATTCTTGATATTATTTAATATAAAACTTGACTGATTGTTATTGATTATGAGGTCAATTTTCTCTTATTAATAGTAATAATTTACTTCGATATATGACCAGTTGAATCTTTACTGATAAAATATTGTTTATTGATGATTCTAGTAAATTTCATCTATAAACATTTAATTTATGTATTAATGACTATCGAATGAAAAAAATCCTGCCATTTCTTCAAAATAATTGTACTACATATATTGTTAAATATGAAAGTATGTTTACATCCTAAATTATCTGATAATGAACTCTTTTAAAATTATAATAACATCTATGTCTTAAGAAAAAGTTTTGCCAATATCTTAAAAGCCATTTACAGCCTGTCTTGATGGCATTATGCACTATTTATATCAAAATCAATGGTTTTATGATAGATAAAAAAATATAGCCTTTACTCCCCGAATAGTATGTTGTATCTCTTTGTTTGTTTTTTTTTCTGTTGAATCTATATTTCAATATTTGTAAATGTATTTCTTAAAAAACCACTTAATTGAATTGAAATTCAGGTTTCATAATTATTATACTTCTTAATTTATCCTCATTTATAAGAGTTTTTGTTTTTTGCTTACTTCAGTAATTTTTGCAATATGCATATCAAATTATATATATATATATATATATATATATATATATATATCTGTGTTTGAAAATGTAAAATCTATGACGTCTTCAGTTCACGCTGTGATGAGCAGGACTTTTCCACCCCTATGACAATTTTCCAGTTGAGATAATCTGAAAGGTGACCTTTAAGTTGAGCAAAATGACTTCATTCATAAATGATATGAATAGCATAAATGTTGCTTCTTTCTTAGCAATGCAATTAATAAGCGTTCTTTTGGAAATAAATAAACTATTTCTTGTGCTATCTGTATTATAAAATTGACTGATCATTTTGAGAAACTAAAACAAATTAAATCCTCATGATTTACCGCCTGAATCTAATTTTATCGTTTGTTTTTTATTTTAGTATTATCAGATAATAGCCATATAATAGGATAATCTGTAAATTATTTCATAATCGTTGATTATTAATAATAAATTCTTTCTTCAATTAACTTCTTATTCTCCATTTTTTCAATTAAGTTATTTCCAGGAATTATTTTTAAAAACCTTGGGTGATGAAGGAAGAATTGTGTAAATGTATTGAGGATATTTAGCAAGAAAATGAAACATGTTCATTCTTTTCAAATCAGTTTAAAAAGAAAAGATTTTAGTTTATTCAAATTTATTCACCTAATAGGCATTAAGCTTGAGTATCTTTGTCTTATTTATGACAATAAGAGGAAGATTTGCAATACTAATTGCTACTTAAGAACAATACTTATGACGACCATGGTTGAGAACTAACATTTAACATGTACATATTTTATAATAAATAACTATTTATACTTTATTCTTTACAAATTTACTTATTCTTAGAGTTGAGATATTTAGTTTGATTATTATTTTATCATAATTTTTATTTTTTCACTTTTATGCAATTTAATTTTATATAAGCAATTTTTTTTAGTCGAATTATCTTATTTTTTTAGTTGAACTATCTCTTGAAAGTGAAATAAATGACTTAGTAAAGAGGGTGGACTATGATGGTTGTAAAAAAATTGTAATGGATGGTTAACCATTGTAAAAAGTTTTTAAAATATATAATCTTAAACAGAATTTTGTATTGTTTAATTCTTTTACTTTCAATGATTGATAGATATGCTTATAAATCCAAAACCATAAATATTATACAAAATATAATATAAGATATCATAGGTGCAGATTTCAGAGGAGAGAGAATATTGTTTCACCCCACCCCCTATAATTTGAAGTAAAAAGAAATTAAAATTAATAGCAAATAATCTACATGAATTAATAAGATATGTAAAACAAAATCAATCAAGAAAATAGGAAAAGTTGACTATCTGGCTAGGGCCTAGTGGTTAATATTTTACGGTGGTAACATACTTGATCCACTACTCTGTTAATTCCTTTCATCCTCTGATAGAGTTTGATTCTATTCAGACTTTGGTACGAACCAAAGAACTATTTACATAATTTTTAAATATATTTCAGTTTTTAACATTATTCATTTTTAGTTGAAAAGGTTCTAGAAATATACCTATATTATGGAGGCTATCTCCCTCCCTCCATGTTTAATATATACAAACATGTAATATATACAATTTTGTAGTTCAGATATTTTCAAATATATCCATACAAATAAAAAAAACACCTATATAAGGAGCTGTGCAAGGTCCTGGAAGAGCTTAATGTCCCAAGGAAACTCATATCACAATTAAAGATGACCATGATAAACTCAGAATATTCAGTCCATGTAGGATCAAACCTTTCAGAAGCATTGAAAACCAGTAGTGGAGTAAGACAAAGAGATGCCCTTGCTTGTCTACCATTTAATGTGGCATTAGAAATGGCTGACAGAAAATAAAATCTGAACAATAAGCACCATCTTAAACAGAACAGTACAGCTTCTAGGATACGCTGATGATATTGATATTGTGGCGAGATCAGAACCAGCATTGAAAGAGGCATTCACTTCCTTCAAAATAGCTTCCAGAGAATTCGGTACCACAGTGAATAAGCAGAAAACTAAATATATGTGAGTTGGTGGTGCTGAAGACCATGTCACATTCATGGCCAGGAGACAAGGACGGGAGATTTATGCCAGAGTTAATATCCCAGACGTGAACTCGTACTTAATATATCAAATTACATATTTGATCAGGTTGCCGGACAATGGCGGTGATGTGCACACGCTTTAGCCCACTCAGCCACCTTGCCCCTATTCCTGGACATTGGTTGCCATAAGTTCCAGGGAGTGGTGCCAAAGTGAAATCCCGGAACGATATATCTCAAATGTCAGTAGACCGATCAATGTTGCCAATAGATGCTTCCATTGCCTGTCCAAGCATTTTAAGAGCAAAAATCTTTCCTCCAATACAAAAATTAATCTCATGGGGCGGGGTGGCCGAATGGGCTAAAACGTGTGCACAGCACCGCCGTTGCCCGGCAACCTGACATATGAATCTAATGATATAAAAATAGTCACGAGTTCGCGTCCCGGTGCTGAGGGAGTCTTTTAAATCCCCGCCCACACTCCCTGGCCCGGGAAAACCCCGTATAGCCTTAACGGTACTCATATATGGATCAGAAACATGGGCAACCACAAAGGGAAACAAAAACAGACTGCTGATATTCAAGAGGCAAGTGCTGAGGAGAATATTCAGAGCAGTATAAGAAGGAGAGGTCTGTAGCAAGAGAAAGAATATAGAACTTTATGATGTCTTCATAGATGACAAAATTGTGAAGGTTGTAAACCTGGGACGACTACGTTGGGCCAGTCATCTGGCTCGAATGGGTGACATTGATATCCCAATGAAGATAATGATGGAAGAGTTGCACTGAGCAAGGATAGAGCGACCCAGAACAAGATGGCTAAATGGTATGGAGGTGGATGTGAGACCTGCTGAACACTAGAAACTGGATTGCTGCAGCACAAGACAGAATTGTCAGGCAGAGGCTGATGGAGGAGGCCTAGACTCGTTATCGGATTGTTGTGCCGATTGTATGGATGTAAGAACACATGAAAAAAAATATATATATATATATATTTCATGTATATATTATATTAATTAAATTATATTATTATATTAAAAAATATTAAATTATATATATATATATATATATATATATATATATATATATATATATATATATATATATATATATATATATATATATAAAAGGAAATACCTACCTACTCTATTTTTTAATTTCAACAAAGAAATAAAAACACTGAGATTATTATAAGAAACAAATCCATTGACATCCAAAAGCCGATAGAACCGCTGAGTTATCAGTGATTCAACTGATGAATAAGGGAATACACTGAATTCCATCGATGAGTTTAGGAACTTGCCCAAATATATACACCATTAAAGTACATTTTCATAGAATTGATTTTCTTGACATGAAGAAAAAATGAGTTACTCTATCATTATTCTAACCCATATTTGATTAAATCTGAAAGTTTAGCATGATTATTAATAGGACTGTCATTATCAGTTGGGAAAGATGATAAAATAGATTCATCATTTTGTTAATGTTCAATGTTAGTTTTAATCCTTTATTAATCTATTTCAAGATGAGAATTTACAGTGGTGTAAAAAAGTGTTTCGAACAAATCTAATTTAATAAAAAGGATCAATGTTTCAATTTAAAAATATTTTTATCTTCTTAATTGTAAACTGATTTAACCTTTCAGACATGGTATATGTAATATACATTTAAATTAGCATTATGTTCAATTAAAAACAAGCCAAGATACCATTCCGTTGTTTTGGCCTATTTTTATCCTCCAAATAAGTTATATAAATTTTTATCCAACCTTATTGTTTAAATTCCACTGC